AGCCTGTTCTCAACATCTTATCCTTCGCCCTGTACAAGCCCCCAGTCCCACCAGCAGACAATGACCCCTCATCAGCAATACCAAGCACAGGCAAACCATTTCGAGATAAACTTTTCTCCAACTTGATGACCCTGCCACCTGAACCTTAATAAAAACCCAGTTCTAATCACTTACGTGTAGTTCAGTGATATTTTTTCACCGCAGCCTAAAAAGTTGTTTTCAAGCAGCACATGCCACCTTCAGGTCTTAGATTAGTGTAATAGCCCCTTTCTGAATTCTCACCTTATTCTAGCTCATTTTTATCTGCAGGTCAACATTCATATATTAAATCTACTCCAGACACTCTTTCTTAGCCTGGCAGCACCTTTTGAATCTATGGCTTACTCTGAATTATATCCATATCCCATGCAGTACCTTGCACTGCTTTACACCAGCACTTCCTTACCTCACTTCATCTGTCAGCACCTTGTATGAATTAAAAGATGCATCTGAGCATTTTAAGATCTGCTGATGCAGCCTCAACCTTTCCACTGAAATTAGCACTTTTTGACCCACCACCTAAAAGTCATATAGAAAATTAATAAACTTATCTAAATTATTTTCTAACTTAAAAGAACTGTGTTTTATCATGGGGGGATAGGGGAAATTAAACTCTCTTTTACTTTTATTTGAGAGGCAGCATCCTACAGAACACTGACATATTGCTCTGCCACTTTCAAACAGGAACATCATTTCAACCTGCTCCATTCTGCTGCTTTTCTTGAAATCAAATAAAATTATTCCAGTAAGAGAGGGAACATATGCTGTCACAGCGCATCTGAAAATAGTGTGTGCATTGGCCAGCACTGTGACAGCTGAAATGCAGTAGAGGTGTTTCTTTTGAAGACATTTGCCAAGGAACAAGTCTTAAAGCCTTTCCTTGATTTCCTGAAAGATACTTATAATTGCATCAGCAGGCATACTGCTCCTGAAGTTTGCAGTCACAGGCTGGCCTGACTTTTGGAACTATCCAATACCTTACCACAGTTCTGAGTGCAAGTGCCTATGCTTATTAATTGTAGTCAGTCCTGGAAATGCACAGGATGAATTTTCTTCCCAGTAATTCCCCTTCTTCTCCTCCAGTATCCTTGGGGTATCAATGTGTACATTGATATGTATTGTCACTACTTGCTCAGTTTGAGAGTGGCCCCTCTTGTTCCCATACCAAACTCTAATTCTCTATATATTTGAAGAAGCGGGACAAGCTGAGCCTCTAGTAACCAAAACATGATTAATAATGATGTGGTTTCATCCTGGTTCAATTCTAATATAAAAAATATCCTACATTTGGACTTACTTTATAGATTAGGCAAGAATCTTACAGATTTACATGACTCCATGGCTATTAGTGAAGTTTTGTACTATGCCATCTTAGAATCTGCCACTTTGGATGGTTATAAAATGCATATATTATAATTTTTTAAAATGCTGAGTATACATTTCACCCAAAATATAAATTCATTATCATATCTGGTATGAAAATATGTAGATAGCTGCAGAATAAACAAAACATAAAATGAAACCTGAATTAAAGTAAAACTCTCTTGTGGACTAATACATATCTTTTTATTATGATAGGAGAAAAAAAGGTTGACATGATGGTGTTTTAAAATCAGAAACACTGACACTGCATTATAAATTATTCTCTCTCTCTTTGTACTTTATATTCATATAGTCTTAAGCGTTTGTGATTTCTCACCTCCAGGCATCCTTAAGTATGCTTGAGAACCAGAATAAATGCAAACTCAGAAGCCTTCTTGAACTTTAAGATGAAGGCCACTATGAATTTACTAGAAAATTCCATTAAATTCCTCATGCACATTCTCTACTGCCATTTCAGCACATTTATGATAAGAATGTGGAACCGCCTGCTTTGAGTAACTCTTCTACCTGCTATCTACTGGCTTGCCTGTCTCTGTTAATGGTGCTTTGGATTTCAGAAGATAATACAGTCTGGAATGAAATTCTCAGGTTTAAAAAAATTATTCTCAGACATTAATTTTAAATATGAAGTAGAAATAGCTGTGTTTAGCTAAAAATGATTAATGAGATTGGATTTAATGTGCCAATTTAACATATTACAGTGATTTTATAAGCTGTGAATCTTCTTTCCAGAACACCTTGTTTCTATTTCATGAAAAAAACATTCCCTCTTTCATTTATCTGGATGTGAACACTATGTGAAGATAAATTACATGCCACAAGTTTCCACATACCATCACACCCCTTACCTTCTGACACAGAAAGCTCTCTTAGAACTAAATTAACAGAAAGAGCTTAACATGTTAATAAAATAAGGCAGGAACTTGGTTTTATGGGATTATGCTGAGCAGCATAATGAACCAGAGGATCCCAAGTATTTTGTCATGCATTTCATACTCAACAAGATAACCAAACAATCGTTTTCAAAAAAGGAAATCTACTGTTTGTTATTTAGAGTAACCATTTTAAAGCACTTACTTGATTTAGAGTCACAAAACCCTAATAAAACCAGTATGGTTTAACATGAGTTAAACATAATAACCTCTGATTTCAGAGGTTATTATGAACTAAGGGATGTAGATAAGCATCCAGTGGGATCTTCTAAATATCGAACTGTGTCTTATACCTGTTAATATTTTGTGTCCATGTAGGGCAGGAAAGGAGGGAAAAAGATTAGTAGGTCAGTTAAATCTCAAAAATGTCACCCTATCTCAGCATAATTATATTAGCTAAAATAAAAGAATACAACTTGAATGGAGCAATATATTTGACACTAAAATAGAAAAGTAAATTAATCCCTGCAATTAATTACACGCAATCTAGATGTGTGCAAAGGATCAGGATATATGACATGATACAGGTATCTTATCACATCACACACCGTTAGTCCTTTGACTTTATTCCCTAACATGAATCTTTTTCAGGGCAAAGTAAATGTAAATCCTGAAGACACTGGAAAATAACAGCTGAAGGTTACACAGGTAACACTCAAACTATACACTCAAGCATTGTATTTTAAAATTTAAAATAACTCAGTCAACCTGATTAGACTATGCTCCATCATGTGCATAAACCCAGAACATCTAACAGATATTTTTGAGTTAAAAATGCTGTCTCTAATGATTTGACACCGATGTTTCATAAGGCTTCTTGGCTGCCAACAATCACATCCATCTGTTGTGTTGGCAGCATGCTCAATCACAAGGTGTGCTGGATTTCTTCATTTTAGGCACCATTGCCAGAGAAATACAAAAACCTTTGAACTGAGTGCGAATGAATTCAGAAAGTACCAGTTAAAAGCTATCTGAATGGGACAACAAACTTTGGGCAGAAGATAAAAAACAGAGGAAAGAATTTAATAAATCTAACGATGGTCATATCATTGCTTGAAGTGGGCAAACATTGAAAAGAGTCATTACTATCCAACAGTGATGCTAAATGATACTTCCCAAGAGACACATATTGGAAATAACAGCACTATCTTCTATTTTTTCCACAGAGCTTAAGGACCACTTCTTGATTTCTCTCTCATATATGTGCATATATAACTATACATACATAAAATATCAATACACATGTGTGTACTGAACATATACATATGTATAGCATATATATATTACAGACAAATATATAATTACAAGATGTGCATAAAATATATATACACAGATAAATTTTACTGACAAGCCCTCTGTGGTTCATTACAACTACAAGAAGCAAAATTTACTTCGGTTTATTCCCAGGGGAGGGAGGGAGGTAGTCACTCAATGCTTCTACATTGCAAAACACATTTTGCTGCACAGTTAAGAGGGAAAAAAGCCACACAAAACAGTGTGGCTAATCCATTAAGAGAAGTTCTGTATGTTCTAGAAAAATTCTGCAGCTTCAAACTTTCTTCCTTTTTGAAGGAGAATTAGGAAGAGGTCTTCACTTGGGCAACAGTTTTTCCAGCCATCATTTCCATGCTAGCCACCAGTATATTGTTTCAAAAGTACTTAAGCAGGGAAATCTCACTGGAATTTCTAGTTGGGTTTTTTTTCTCTGCAACTATCAAGAGATCCTTAAATCAATTTATCAGCTATAAAACCTGGTATCAGCACGCGAAGTAACTTTCAGATGAATGCATTTCCCTTTATTCCACTACACAAATTCAGCCCTGTTACTCCTCAAGTTCCTAAATTTTAGTTTCCTTTTTATTTCTTCCTCTGCACGGTCTGACCAAAAAAGACTAAATTCATCAGAACAAAGCTTAGTATTTTAACATTCACTTCCAGATACTTGGGCTTTGCTTTCCTAGAACTGTGGTGACTATGCATATCAGGAGAGCAGAGGAGCAGTTTAGAACCCCTGCATTTGGTTCAGCTGTCGCCAAGAGCTGAGCCCTGTGGGAAGAATCCTGTTCTGTCGGCAGCATTTCTCTCTCAGCTGTTTGGCCACGGGCTGCATCGAGGAGCATCCTCACTGCCAGTCAGTTACAGTCTCTAGTGAGAATTGATCTGATTTTGGCAAGAATGGGCTTTACACCTTTGCCAAATGTGACCAGAATAGATGAAGACAGTCAGGTCCCTACACAGTCAATGCCTGAAGTGCCACTTGATAGTACATAACTGCAAACAGAGCAGCAGCGGGATATTCAGATACAAGCTTGTCAAGGAGTAGGAGGTTTTTCAGCAATCAAAAGTGCTTCATGATATTGTTTGATGAAACAACTACAACATACAGCATTAGATGTCACAAAGTGACAGCAAAATGTGAGAATGCTGATCAAACCAAAAAAAAATAAAGGTCTGTACTAGAATGGAATATTTTAGCTGAAGTAGTGAAACAGTAATAACTATTTCATTTTTAATACTATTTTTGTAGGAGTAATTCTTTGAGGTTTCAATCAATAACTGCTACTTTGTAATTTCTACTTATTTGAGGAGTGTGCCACAGAATCTTCACACAAGAAGCTCAGTGTATGAAAGCCTCAGTTTACTCACCACAGAACAGCTCCATCTTTAATTCTGCTGGCTTGTTGATCACCGTCTTTGTGAACTTCAAATTATATGGTTCTCTTCTTAGTCTGGAGGAAGATAAAACAATTCACCTTTTGTAAACACATCCATGAATTTTGCACACAAAAATACAAATACAGTCTGCAAGCACTTTAAGAAACAATACAGTGAATCAAAATTAAATTCAGAGCCTGACTCCATCACTTTGACTACTGAAGCAGTGTTTTCCAGCGACAAGATTGTTTTACAAATATTTTACATTAATGCCAGTATGAAATTATGTCAGTGTATGGCTGTACAGTAAGAATCTGTAACTCAAAAAAGTTAACTATGTTCTTTTGTGGTGTGATAGGGAGCAATGAAGATTGATAGTAACTGAGTGACATTCAATTTCCTCAGATTTTAGACCTTTCACCTGTCACATGCAGGAACACCAAGTTCTTTTCATGTTTTATTTTCTTAAAAATTGTTTTTATTTCCTTAAATATGTAAGATTAGTCTTCCACAAACATTTATATAAATTTTAACTATCAAGTTGAATTAATTTATCAGATTTTTATAATAATGAAAAATGGCAAATACATATATATAAAATACAATAATTTGTAAACTGAGATTTTTTTATTTTATTTTATTTTATTTTATTTTAGCTGCTTTCACTTGTGGGCGATGAGCCTATATCTGAATCACAGATTGGCAGTTATATCCAAAGAATCTCACGTGGAAAAACTGATAAACTTGAAACTGGGTTGAACAGCTCTAAGGAGATAATGCTTTTGGCTTCAGATCTTAAAACAGCCAACATTACAGTACAGGTTAAAAGTATTATAATATGCACTTGCAGATTTTCAAGGCTTTCATCACAGAAATGGGAAAGAAAGTAGTCTTGTAAGTCAGTCAGAGCATTACATCCCACAGTTAATTATTTGCCTGTGTAAAATTTCAGCCTAAATTAGCTAAACAGAATAAAATACCTTTATGACCTCTCCTGGAGTCTTCTACTGATGACACAATATTTTGTATTTTACCAGTTACACAGAACACACTTTTAAATACACTTACACTGAGACAAAAGATAAAATAACTTAAAGGCCTAGTTCTCTTCTGCATTATATATCTGCTTAGCTCCATTGGCAGTTCATCAATTGATAGTGATTGATCAGGTTCAAGATGATTTCAAGTGTTCAGATGGGCAGACAACACAAGAGTCAGGAGTATGACATAATGTATGTCAGACAAATAAACCTACCAAAGTTTGGCATTTTTATAAGACTCTCCTGAAGACAATCATAATGAAATACATCCAGTGCTTCTGAAGGGTCCAGATTTCTGCAACACCCATGCTAACTCCAAGCCTCTGTACTCTTTTTGTCTCAAGAATATAGATGCTGCCCACCACTCCAGCAAGCTAGTACAAGGTATGCCTAAGCAAAGACAGGCCAGAGCCAAAATGATAACTTCTTTGTTATTACATGAACATGAGTTCATTGAGAAGTAAAAATCTCTCTTCCAGTTTTCCTTCCAATAGATCATTCAAAAGTTACCCGTATCATTATCAAACACATGAAGTCACATTCATCTGTAGTGACACTCGTGGAGCTCTTGATACAAGTTCTGGCTCTGAGAGAACGGCATAATTTTATATCCATATAAATCAGGGAAGTACTTCTCCCAGGGCTTTTCATACTATTCCTGCTACACCTCAGGCAAATTACATTCTTTTCAAGAGTAGCTCATAGAATAATTTTTCCAGAAAGCAATCAATAAAATCTCCCCTCATGCCCTTCCATCTCTCTCTGCTTTCCTGAGAAATAAAGCCACCAGCTGCGCTGGCACCTTTGATAGATGACTTGAGTGAATTTTTCTGGACATACTCCCTCTCTCTTAAGCATATAAGTTGCAAAACTGTTGTTCTGCTGACCCTACACCACTGAGGTGGGTTCAACCATTCAGTAATCCTGGAGACACACTGACTGACTTCAATCTTGCAATGAAAGGAAACCAGCCCAGCTGGAAACCTAAAAATGTATAACAAAAGTCACACTGACTGCTCAGAAAGAGTGAAAAAATTTCACCAAAGTTAAGCAGTGTTTTCTCTAAATGAATAATAAAAACTGCATTATTGCTACGCAACAAATAGAGATGCAACAAAGCCTCTTCAGGCTTTAGGAGACTACATATATTTTTCTTCCTGAATTTACTAATTATATTATATATTTTTAAAATACTCTATATTCCCATCAAATTATTAACCTATCAATTATTTAAAAAAAAAGGCATAGATACACGTGCAATAATTTCCTCAGGGGTATGTCATATTATATAATTCACCTATTTCTAATCATAAGCAGTAATAAAGACTTGTAATGACAAGTAGTATTTTATCACTGGTTATGGTTAACATACAATTTTGTGCTAAAGTAAGGATACATTTCATTTTACTCCTACTCCTTAACATAAAATGGCAATGATCTTAATTTAACTTAGAAGTAAAACAAGAGCTAATTCAGCTACAAGGAAAGCAAGTCTAGTTATGTAAGCCTTGGGATGAAACTTCACTGCAAATGAAACATTTGAAATGAAAATCAGCCTGTTACACTTGCCTTTTTACTGGGCCTAGAAGCAATACAGTTACAGCTCATCCATTCAATCACTTCTGATTTCCAGAGCTTTTTTTCCAGAGGGATGTTTAAATGAGATACCTAAATGTATTTTATGCCAAACAGTCCAAGTATTAACAGAACTGACTTTGGGTCTTATACCTAAGAATAATTACAGAAATCATTTCATCTGTCATGTGAAGAACCCAGAATAAAATAAGCTGCCACAAAGCATTGTGTCATGTCACCATACACATGCACACACACACACATTTTATACATGGAATATTGCAGTTGTTCGCTTTCCCTCCTACAGGGACACAGTCTAAGGTGGCAGCTTTCCTTGGGGAATATGCTATCATTAGATTTCCCATTAGGGCCTTTTCCGTGGAGAAAGGTTTTTCCTGTATCACAGGTTAAATCATGCTAATTTCAAACTAGAGGCAGTCACATCAAATTGATTTTTAGAAGCTGAAGAGAGGTAAGGTGGATGGTGTGAGAGGAAGCAGCAACGTGCGTTTTCAAAATCGTGCTTGCATATTCTGTGTTTCAGAAGCCCTTGAGATTTGCATTGCTCTGTTTACCTCAGGTCTACTAATTCCCACTCTCATACCCACTGGCAGAACATCACCAACAGCACTAGATTTCTGTGTTGTAAGAAGAGCTATGGCTCCTTTTTGAACTTATGCAGCTTAATGTCACTGTTTCCCAGAATTAATCCAAAAGTATAAATATCAGACAGCTGTTATATCTTTGTGTCTGACAGACAGTAATTTCTCCAAACTGAACTGAGAAAGCATAACTAATACAAATAGTAATAAGGTATTTCTGACAACAGGAAGAGTCATCCTAAGAGTCCCATTTCACCTACGGGAAAAGGAAAACCTCATCAGATATCAGAAGACCGTCTGAAGGAAGATTTGGGACCTTCATTCAAGAAAAGACAAAACTGGATTTAGGAAGTGTCAGATTCTGAGGTGTGAAGCAGTCAGGGATGCTATCATCGCTGGGAAGATGCAGAGTGAGCTACTCCTGCTTGTCATGGATAGACTACTGTACATTCCAAGGAAAGCAAGTGGTGGGGGCAAGCAAGAGAAGAATGGGGGCCTTCTGAAAGTCTGTGAGATTTTTAGAATTTGCTGTCTCAGATAGGATGGCTATACTCATACAAAGAATTGAAAAAATCAGTCTTATTAAAGTATTTCTGCATAGTTTAAAATTACCCTCTTTTAACCTAGCTTATATAAATACATGCATTTGTGTGTAGATATACATATCGATTATATACTGGATCTCATCTTACAGCTTGAAAAGCTACCATGTGAACTGTGTTCATCAGAAAACTGCAGGCTAGCTATTAGGTAACCATCCATTGCTGTTTAACTAATGAAGATTTATGCAAACCAAAAAAGTTCAAAACCCACCTTTGTAATTCTTCAGGAAGAAAATACATAGCAATTTTTTTTTCGTTCTTGCTTTTAATAAAATTCAAAAGTTAGAAATAGGAAAAATGACAAATTAAGGAAAAAAAAAAAAGAAGTGTAAAATTCGTCTTCCACCTACTAAAGCACACAATGTACCACCTTCCACAGTATCCAAGATGGGAAAAGGTTATTTCTCAAGCATCCAAACATATTTAACCATTAATCTCTCTCTCTACCTCTCCAAAACAATTCCCAAGTAATTACATTTTTTTCCATTTTTTTGAAAAGCTATTCCTCCCTTTCCTTAGGAAAGCTGAAAAATTCATATTACCTATTACCACTAACGAGCATGCCTTGCTTTAGAGTTGGGATCATAGGTCTTCTTCTCCTGTTAGCTGTTAGTTTAACAACCCTAGAGCCATGAAAAAAATTTCACAAACTCTACAAACTCCACTACATTACACAGAGAAGTGGAAAACCATGAGAATTATGTCGGGTGAGAGCAATAGTCATGCATTTATATTCAGGACAACATGGTCCTGTGACTACAATGGGAATACTGATTAACATGTCAGGATGTATAATTGGTCCCAATAAACGAATCCCTGAGGAATTTCTGGAATTTCCAAGTTCACCAGTAAATATATATATATATATATCTAAAGTCTCTACTTAAGTGTATTTCATACCTGAGCATTATTTTCAGCTATAAAGAGCAGTTATAAACAAGTTGACTAAAGACTTTGCTTTAATTCCACAGGTAAATTTAATCTCCTCTAACATCAGGCAGGGATCAGGCAGCTTTCCTCCCCAGCTTGGAAGGTTCCCATCACAGTCAGTGGTGAGAACTTCCTCTGGGCAATGACACAGTCTGCTTGTGACAGGCACCTTAGACTGGTGGAGTAACACCTAAAGCAACTCAAAACCTCACAGGTTCTCCTACGCACTTAGTTCTGACTAGATGTCCAGCTGGTAGCAAAAGGCAATTAGGTGATAAAATTCTCACTTGAAATTAATGTGAAGACTCTGGGTTAGTATACTAAA